TATTATTAATATTGAATATTAAGAATAAATAGTAATTAATCCTATAAGAATAAGTATATTACATTTAAGTTAGTTTAGTAAGTAATATTTTTTTAATATTAAGAATAAAAATTGAGAATAAATATATATGTACTAATATTTTAAAAATTATAAAATCAAATATTATTAATATTGAATATTAAGAATAAATATTCAATATTAATATTGAATATTAATATTCAATATATATATATATATATATATATATATATTTATTTTTTTAATATTCAATATATTAATATATTAATATATTAATATTTAATATAATTCTTAATATTTATATATTCTATATATAATTTTTAATATTCAATATTAATATTTAATATTTATTCTTAATATTAAGGGTCGGCAGAAGGCCCGGCCAGAGTCCGAATTGATATTGAAGACCTCACGCAGTGACAACGCAAAGCTCCGTTTTCAGGGTTTGCCAAAACTGAGAAACCAATTCTCGGGTTTTATGTAGTGGTGCATGTCTATACACGTACATACACCATTGCATTGCTCACGCGGACGCACCGTAGAAAGACAAGGACCGATAATGACGTGTTCTCCTTGTTCCTCTACCGTGCCGGTATACGCGAGATGCGGCCTGAAAATGCTTTCTGGGTATCGATTCTGTAACTTTTTCTAAAGTAAAAACGTGAAAAATGAAAAATTTCCGCCAATCGCACATCGATTTTATTTTAAAATCAATGCGTGATTGGCGAGAATTTTTCACTTTTCACATTTTCACTTTAAAAAAAGTTACAGAATCGATACCCTGACCTTCCGTAGCAGAAGGCAGTAGCGTAGCAGAGCTAATAAGCACCCACTTTTTGGAAGTTGTATATATGCTTATGCTCATGTGTGTATATATACCTGTATGTTGCGGATTAACCAATCAAATGACAAGTTGCTTTACTTTCATTGGTCAATCGGCAATTGTCAATTAGCAACGGGAGGATATTTGCAACCTATTGTATAATGGCTCTTATGCATATGCTTATGCGCTTATGCAAGAGTGTGTGCTCCCCGCTTAAGAATCTTTGATTGATCTATAAACGTATGCATAAGAAATTCAACCAATCGAATTTCTTATGCATATGCTTATGCGCTTATGCAAAAGTGTGCGCTCCCCGCTAAAGCGGGGGGGGGGGGGATTCGTAATTCCAGGCCGGCCGATAAGCGTCTCCACCGGGCCTCCTGCCGACCCTTAATGCATCAACAAAATATTACTTTAATAAAAGGATGGCATCAAGCCGCAACAGATAATGATTTCCCGTTATTTGATTCAAGCAAGAATATAATTGTTCAATGTATAAATATATATATTGTAAGAAATCGAGATTATTAAAAGAAGAATTAAGTAAAGTATTTAATTACGGATAACCGTTAAAAGTTTTAACTGTTCTTAGAAAGCGCGGAAAGTACGAAGGTTCGAGAAAGGTGTTTGAAAGTCACTCAACAAAAATATTCACGTAAAGACAAAGACTGCTATTTATTTCGTAAGACTCCCGTATACAAAAATCAACTATCTTTTAGGTATACTGCTCGAAGGAGAGTCCCGGGTTTCTCAGCTCGCCTAGCTTAAATACCCTTTGACTCTCCCGCGCGCGCCGCTTTAGTTTGCGCCCTTTACGCTTATCGCCGAGGGCAGCAGTTATCGGGGACAGTTAGCTGTCGTATCGGCGCGTGCGCAATCAGCCGATCGGTGGCAATTGCTTTCAATATATATATAATATAAATATATAAAATATAATATAAATATATATAAATATATAAATATTTACATAAATATATATATATTTGTACACAAAATGCGTACAAATATACACATCCATTCGGAAACACTTTACACCCGAGAACATGTTCTGTATCCCCTTCACTTCTCCATTAAAATCACGAAACCACACCGAGTGTCTATAGTTTTCCGAACGTATATATATATATATATATATATATATATATATATATATATATATATATATATATATATATGGATTAGAGTCTCTAGAAGTAAGAGTCTGGGGAATGTTCTAATTTCTAGTTTAAAAGAAAATGGCATCCATAGTGAATTCAAAAAACACTGAACAATAATGGAAATTGTCTTATCTTTTAGTAAACAAAAATTTTTATAATATATAAAATTGATATATCACAAATAATATATAAAAAATGTTTTGTTTTATTTAAGATTTTGAATTAGCAAAAAAAAGAAGAAAAAGAAGGTGCCAACGGTACATGGTGTTCCCAAGCGGTCACCCATCTAAGTACTAACCATGCCCAACGTTGCTTAACTTCAGTGATCAGACGAGAACTGGTGTGTTCAACGGGGTATGACTGTTGACGATGGTAAAATCTTTAATTAATGAAGAAATAGTCACTTGAAAATTTTAAGAGTATTGTAAATAAAATAGTTTCTTTATTGTCATTATAATTTAAGTAAACATACATTTGAAACAAAAAATAAATATTATTATTGGTAATAAAGAGATCTTAAAGCCGTTTGTTTTACCAATAAAACGCAAAATTGAGAATTTGACTATATATTAATCATTTTATTAACTATACATACCCCAGACAGCACAGAATTTTATGATAAAGATTCATAAATATTTATAAATATATATTTTTTAAAATATGATATAAATATTTTGAAAATGTTTTATAAAAACCTTTTATTTAACGTATTATTAAAATAAATTAAAATATTTAATATAATATATTTATGGTATGTATAAAGATAAATATTTATATAGATATTATTTTGTAAATATTTATATAATTCTTACAATGAAAATCAATTATGAGAAAGATATACATCACATAGCGATAAATGAAAAAACTAACAATTTAGTTAAAAAATATTTACAAAATAATATCTATATAAATATTTATCTTTATACATACCATAAATATATTATATTAAATATTTTAATCTATTTTAATAATATGTTAAATAAAAGGTTTTTATAAAACATTTTCAAAATATTTATCTCATATTTTTAAAAAATATATATTTATAAATATTTATGAATCTTTATCATAAAATTCTGTGCTGTCTGGGGTATGTATAGTTAATAAAATGATTAATATATAGTCAAATTCTTAATTTTGCGTTTTATTGGTAAAACAAACGGCTTTAGGATCTCTTTATTACCAATAATAATATTTATTTTTTGTTTCAAATGTATGTATACTTAAATTATAATGACAATAAAGAAACAATTTTATTTACAATAATCTTAAAATTTTCAAGTGACTATTTCCTCATTAATTAAAGATTTTACCATCGTCAACAGTCATACCCCGTTGAACACACCAGTTCTCGTCTGATCACTGAAGTTAAGCAACGTTGGGCATGGTTAGTACTTAGATGGGTGACCGCTTGGGAACACCATGTACCGTTGGCACCCTTCTTTTTCTTCTTTTTTTGCTAATTCGAAACATAAAACATTTTTTTATATATTATTTGTGATAAAAGATGTAAAAACTCTGAAGTCACCAGATGATAATTAAAAAATGGTAGTAATTTAATCAACCAACTCTGGCAATTTAAGTGATTATACGTGTAAAATCAAAAGATTTTAGCCTGAACTCGCACCAGAGGCAAACTTTTTGGTAAAATCAAAGGATTTTATTAGCCTGGACTCGAACCAGGGGCAAAGTGTGTCGGTAAGGGGCAAAATGACGGTCTCCTCTTTAGACGATCTGTCTAAATTTGGCGATCTGTCTATTAATCTGTGGTTCTAATTGGCTTCTGCCTTTCTGGTTTCTAGCGGGGTTTACAATGCAACAGCAGGAATACAGAGTACAAGAGTAAACAGTACGAAATAGGATTGGCTCATTTCGTTACTCCCGACGAAATGAGCCAATTCCATTTCGTACTGCTTACTGCTTACTCTTGTACTCTGTACTCTTGCTGTCATTGTAGACCCCGCTTAACTTTAACCTCCGGTTAAATTATATTTGTCTTTTTTTAAATACGTATGTGAAAATTAAAAGACAAAGATATAAGCGGGTCTACTATGAGTACGTTTACACGGCACCCTTAATCGGGTTTAATAACATCCGTAGTTGTAAGACTTGCCAATCACAGCCGTTCCATTCTTCAAGGGAATGGCTGTGATTGACCAGTTTTACTATAGATGTTATTAAACCCAATTAAGGGTGCCGTGTAAACGTACTCATTGACAGCAGGCGTACAGAGTACAAGAGTAAGCAGTAAGCAGCACGAAATGGGATTTGCTCATTTCGTCGGGAGTAACGGAATGAGCCAATCCCATTTCGTACTGCTTACTCTGTACTCCTACTGCCATTGTAGACCCCGCTTTAACCGACGTTAACAGTTGAATTACCTTGCGCAAAACAATTTGATTATTGAATATAAAATTTCTCTAAAAATTCCCTAAAGGACCTTAAAAATTCTCTAGTCGACAGCCAACGCGCGTCGCGTCTCGATCCATCTGGATATTTTCTCATAAGTTTCCACTAACAAATCAGAGAGAGCGCAAAGGCGGGTGAAGTAAGAGAGAGAGAGAAAGAGAGTAAGAGAAAAAAGGGAGACAGAGAGAGGGAGGTTGGGTTCTCCCAGTCTGCGAAATCGTGGTGTGTGTTGTGCGGTGTTTGCACGATTAGGTTACGCGCTGCTCGACGCGAAATGACGTTTCTCGCGTGTAAATATCGCTCGTCGTGAGAGTCTCTCCTCGAGGATGAGCCGCGCGTGATCCACGTAGCTCGCTGTTCTCGTAGCCGCGCTCAAGAGAGAGAAAGAGAGAGAAAGAAAAAAAAGAGAGAGAGAGAGATAGACACCAGGAAGGACTAAATCAGACTAAAGACTAGGGAGAGACAGTGGTGCGAGCTCTCTCTCTCTCACACACAACGACGTCTCCGCGAAGGATCCCGCGCGCAAGCCTTGACAAGCAAGACTCCGTGCGTGCGTGCATTAAAGTGAGGTTAGGATGTAAGCGAATTTGGATCCCCCTCCCCTCCCCCTCTTGTTTATCGTCGCACCCTCTCCTTCAAGGTGAAACGCCCGCGTGCTCCTCCGCGACGCCGTCGCCACCTCGAGCTGTCGACTTAACCTCTTGTTCTCTGTTTCTCTAAAAGTTTATACAAATAAATCGAAAGTGCACGAGTGTATTGAAGAAGAAAAAGAGATTCGTAGTGAGCCTGAATAATCGTAATTGAAGTAAACTCTGATTAAAAGCGCTTTGAATATTTAGAAAAAAATATTCTGTCTCTCCCTCTCTCTTTCTCTGCTCTGCATTCGCGTCATTTGTTTTTTTCGCGCTTACCTGATTTTTTCTGATTTGTAGATATATTCAATATTCCTTTGCTTGTTTATCGTTTTCCTCGCTCCCCCCTGTTTCCTCCCCCCTCTCTTTCCCTATTTTGATGTCTCCCTCGCGTCAGCCGTGGATGAGATCAAGGTATCAATTAGACTCATCGAACACGGCGGGATTTCGCGATCGTCGCATGAAAATGAATTTTTTTTCTGTGAAAAACGCATGAAATGTTATTTTAAATCACATATGGTTGGTTTTGACAGAGCAACGGAGCAATTTTCGGGAATTTAAGAATTCTGCACGTTTTCTCCAGAAGGTTTCTCTTGAATTATTACAAATGACACTTTAAGTGGGTGTTGATGTAGAATTTTGAGTAGTTTATTATTTAAGTCATCATTTTAATAATATATAGTTAATTATTATAATAAAAATTATAATATATAGTTAATTATTTAATAATATTTACAATATTAAGTTTGCTCTTTTTTTGGAAGATGCAAAAAATAAATGCACTTTTGAACGTATTGTTTATTTTTATGATGCGTCTTAAGAGAAATTTGTCAATGAAACCCATTCAGAGAGCATGTGTGTACATATTATTTTTCAAGAATCATATTGCATTCTATGAAAATGCATTGTGATAAGTTGACTTGTGTAGAAACACATGGATTTGTTTTTCCAATGTTGGATAGATCATATTCAATTTTTTTTTTTTTTTTTTTTTCCAGTTCTTGTCATAATTTTTATCATTCATATTTCAAGTCATAGTATATATGAGGATAATTTGTTAATTTAATTCAGTTTAATAATGTTTTTTTCAAGTATGCGCATACTATGCAAGTGATTGAATTTATAGTGATTTATATATGTATAAATTTGTTGTGATTTCAAAATTAAAAATGAAAGACAAAAGATAAATTATAAGAAATATTAAATATTATTAGATTGCTGGATATATACAAGATGTAAAACTAAAAGCAAACTGTAATTTGAAAAGAAATTGTTTTGACATAAATGAATGAGAGAAAAGATATGCACATTTTATATTTAAATCTATTTTACATTTTTTATGTGTTATACATTTTTTTCCTTTTCTTTCTTTCAATAGCTTTAAAAATATATCCTATTTTAAATATAAAGAATGCAGAGAGAGAGAGAGAGAGAGAGAGAGAGAGAGAGAGAGAGAGAGAGAGAGAGAGAGAGAGAGAGAGAGGAGAGAGAGAGAACGACTGATACAATTTGATTTTAAATTACCTGGAACATGGAACATATATTTATCCTTAAAAAGTGCATATATATAATATTAAAATATTACACTCTTCAATTTTTATTACTTAATTATTTAATTATATAGTAATTAACAATCATAATTAGCCTATATTTAAAGGTTATATCTGCTAAATTTTAGTTAAAATAAATTAATTTTCTTTAAAAATTAATAATCACGTAGTTAATTATTTCATTATTTTCGAAAATTAAATATTAGAAATGTAAGAAAGAATTGTTTGCCTCTTACTGTTATTAAGATTATTTTTTAATCAGTTGTTATTATTTTTAATTAAACAATAATTAAATATTATGTGTCCCATTTTTAATCAATTTCTTGTCTCGAAATAATCAAAAAGTTCTTAAAATTACTCATAATTAATTTTTTATCTCAAAATGTTGATTAATTGAAGATTCCCTTATTATGTATTTAATATATAAATGTATAAAACTATTGGGGAAATATTAATTGTTTTTCTTACATTTTCATGATTACAAATAATCTAATACTATCTATACTTTATGTAATCTTCAACACCAATTTATGTGAATGTTTAATATATTAATAGAGTGTGATATATTTTAGACTATGAACGATTATTACCGCCTCAGATATGACATTAAGTGACGCCAGTAATCAGAAATTACAATGATTGGTGCGGCCTGTAGTTTGGAAGATGCGTGTCAGCAGGCTCAGGTGTGTAAAAAAGTTCCTTAGTCGCTGATCCATGAGTCTGTTCTGTTCAGCGGAACCAGCACTAGTTCAGAATTTATTTTCTTCACTTCACATTGGGAGGAAAAATATAAATAAAATTCTAAATAAAATTAAAAAATAACTAAATTCTAAACTAGTGCAGCTAGTTTAGCTAAAAGGAATAGATATATAGCGAAGAAGTCATTATTGAACATTGTTTACATTTACCAAATAATTAATTCATCCCATTGTCCATACAGGATATGATTAATCAAGTACCCAGATCTTGGAAAAATGCGATAGGTCCAGATTCTTTGGCCTTAATATCGAATAAATCATTGCCCTCACAGAAGAAAGAGCAGAGTCACTCCAGGCACAGCATCCAGTCCAAACTCACCAGACTCTACTTTGAAGAACTCTCCAAGGTTCCTCATGCAACCCCAGATTCCGTTCTGGTACGTCCACGTATTCCTCTTTTATCAAAATTTATTAATACTTTTTGCAAACAAAAAAATATGTTTCATTCATGTTTTCGTAATGCAAACACAATATATGGTACATTTAAAATGCATTTTATCTGAAATTTTGTACAGAACAATCTTGAGAATGAGTGCGACCTTTTGGGGCGATTAGTGCAACGAGAAGGTTTACATACATTAATTGTTAATCTCTATGCTGGTAATAAAGGATACTCATTAGCTGTAAGAAATAGGTGAGTTTGATATTTTTTTCTCAATTATATTACCACTAGTGTTCTTATCTAAATAAAATTATATAGATGTTCATCTAGATGAAACTTTGGCGGCATCTTATTTTTATATAGATAATAAAAATATGTATTGTCTATATCTGCATCTTGGATGAAAAAAAGTATTATTTTTACTAAATTATCTAGAATAATTTTCAGATAATTTTGATTAGAATCATAGCACATAAAAATACTTAAATAGTAGAACTTAAGCAGTAAGCAATAAAAATATGAATACATATTTTTATATTTCTTTTATAATTTACATTTTTTTATAACTGTGTTTACATAAGCATTTAATAATTATCTAGAAAATTATCTAGATGAATCACCATATAATTTTATATCTTTTAGCTAGATATTTTCAGACAAAATCATTTTCATCTTATCTAAAATAAATTTACATATTTTATCTCATCTTTATCTAGCTAATTTATATATTATTATAAACAATTGTGTATTATTATTAACTATAAATATCTAAACTTTTCACTCTCTGATTCCTTTTTTAATTTTACTATTTCTACACACCCACAAAATTATTGTAATGTATCATTAGTGCCAAATTCTAATATTTTAATTTTATCAAACTTAAAACATTTAATATTTATATGAGGAATATTTAATTAATATCTTAAAATAAAAATTAATTCTTGAAAAATTTCTGAGGTTTTTGTATAAAATTGATCATTAATTTAGATTTTCTCAATTTATAGTGATAAGGGGAATCAGTATGATAAAAATTCATTACTAGCCGAGACTCAACTCATGGGTTACGAACAGGGTGAACTACTTTCGTGCATAGATAATGGTCAACTGCCGGCGATGTTAGCCGAACAATTAGAATCCAATTATTCACATTTATTTTACGATGGTTGCATAATCGCTGAGGTCCGAGATTATCGAAAGTCATTCTCTCATAACAGAGCCGAAGTTCATCATGTACTTCTTAAACCTACGACACAGGTAAGATTTCATCACTGAATACGTAGTCGATAAAAATGATAAAAATATTTTTTACAAGAGTATAATAAATGAAGAAAGTTTGGATCGCGCGATTTTTTTTAAAAGATCAAGAGAAGATATATATTCAATCAAGCATTAGTCATCAATTGGTGTAAAGAAAATACATAATTGTTTTTTAAGACAAAGTATGTAATTTGTAATTAGTAGTTATATGTATATTTTTTCTTAAAAACAATTGTGTATTCTTTATATCAATTAATCCAAAAAAAACTTGAAAATCTGGTATTCTCAAAAAACTTTATTCTTGAAAACTCAGGGAATTTCTATGGGATTTGATTTGGGTTTCAAGAATTAAAAAAAATTATCTTCTTATTAATGTTATTTTTATTTATTTTTATTTAAAATGTTATGTAACTTTTTATTGACAACCTAGTATTAGTATCATGATCTTATATGAATTATAAAGAGTGATGGCAAAAAGACCTGTTTTTTTCGGCCATTTTATAGGGTTGAATTTTGGGATTTCAAATTTTAAACTTTTCTTATGCCAAGTAGTACTATATGATGAGACATTAATCCCAGAGAAATTTCAAGATGAGTATAGGCGGTTCCTTAGATATGAAGAAGTGATAATTTCTTATAAAAACTGACTAAAAATCATCACTTTCCTCTTGTATCTCCGGAACCGTGCCTATGCTCATCTTGAAATTTTACTAGGATTAATGTTTCATCTAATAATACTATTTGTCATGAAAAAAAGTTTGAAATTCGAGGTCCCAAAAATGGGCGAAATTTGTCATTACTCTTTCATAAAAAATTATTCGAATTTTTAATAGATAATATTTACATAAAATTAGTACTCCTTATTTATTTAATAAATGCAAGATAGCTAGTTTTTTTTATATCTACGCTAATCTTATTCCAAATATCGAGTTTGAAAGAGGTATCCATATATTAGATGTGATAAATTAACAAGGAATATTGCTGCATTAATTCAATTAATTGTTCATTATGTTTATAAGTCTAAAAAATGTCTACACAAATATGGGCACAAACTTAGAGGCATCTTTCTTGTCAAGCAAATCACTTTTCTTCAAGTGTTAAAACAGATTTGAATATACAAATAAAATATTAACCATATTACTGTAAAATTACAAATATGTATAAATAGACCTTAAATCTCGATAAAAAATTGTTTTTTGAAAAATTTCTGTTCAAACTTTATAAACTACAATATTTACCCAAAAAACACTTAATTTTTCTACAATTTTTTAATTAAATCTGTATTTTTCAGAACAAGAAAAATTATATAAAACTCTTTATCTCACATTTTATCGATTTCTATATTATTTAATATTTCATCCATTTTGTCCATTTCATCCACTTTCTTCCAGTGTCTCGGACAAAATGCCAATCCTGAATTTTAGTTCTAAAATTCTTGTTTATGTGTGCAGAGCGTACTTTCGGATGTGTCGACGCTTACAAGTGACGGAGATTGGAGCCACGAGGAGCGGTTAATGTTAGAATCACATATAGTGGCAGCTACTCAAGGACCTTTATGCTTAGATCCGAATCCTATTCCCACCTTAGCTAGTACAAGAATTAAACAATCTAAATCACTACTTACCGATTATCAGCTCATGCGACAAGCCAAAAAGTTCTCTCAGGTAAATACTTTAGTTTGAAATTTATTTACAGTTTAATATAAATTAAAATATGTAAGAAATAAGAATTAATTAAAGAAATATGTCGCAAAAATAATTAATTATTTGATATTAAGTAATAAATAATATTTAAACAATATGTGAGACAAAATTACATCATATTTGTATGCACAGCTTGCTATGCGTCACTCTTGATTTGCACTTTGTTGCTTGATATTAGGTCACAGTGAATCGAAAAAGAAAATTGGAACAGTTAGCCCAGTCGGAAGGACAAACGATGCAGGAGTTAATGCAGAAATACCGTTCGAAAAGAAGAGGATTAGCGACAAGCACTGCCTGCCCACCGCCTTTTCTCACAAGCCCTCCTCTGCTTCCACCATCTTCAGCAATCGAAGTTTTAAGGTTCTTATGACGGAGAATGTATTTTTCTTCTTTTTTTTTAGCTTATACTTTTCCTTTAAGTCTCCTGGCTCTCTTCGCCGACCACGTTGGAATTATGACGTCAGAAGCACTAAAATTCTTAGATGCCATTTCGAAATATGGTTTTTCATTTAAAAATGGCATCTAAGAATTTTTCAGCATCTGCTCGCCTCTGACGTCACAATCTAGGATCTAAGAGTCTTAATTTTTGCCTTACGTTTTTTTTTACTGTAAAATATATTCTGCGAGATTAATTTAGAAATGTAATTCGATGATTAGATATGCAAAAGCATACGAACGGCCAAAAGAAACGATAGACTGTACGCCACAAGTTATAGAAGAGTATATATTAGAACCTGCGGAAAGTCAAGATTACATAAAGCTCTCGATCCTTCAAAGACCTGCTACTTCCGAGTGCCTTGGAGAACTTTATATGGATAAAAATCATCGTGACGGAAAAAAGAATGGTTCTTCTTGCCGGTATGTGCATTATACATATACATATCTTATACATACATATATATATATATTTTTATACATATATATATATATATATATATATATATGATATATAAATATGATATATAAATTTATATTATAATAAAAAGTATTAAAATACAAATTTATGCCATATAACTAATATATTTAATATATAATATAATATATAAAATTATATATATATAATATAATATATATAATATAATATATAATGTAATATATATATATATATATATATATATATATATATTGTACATTAATTATATTAGTTATATAATATAAAATATTTTGATATTTTTGCACAATTATTTATTAATAAATGTTGAACATTTGATTTATTATAATTTAATTTTTTTATTAGGTTTACATTAGGAACCAGAACCATAGCGAATCATTACTATCAGCAGTTTAAAGAAATATTCACAGAGGAGGGTAGGAAGAATGTGAGAATAAGACATATTATACCAGGAGCTGTACCAGGACAGACTCGTATTACATGTACACCTAGCATGCAGCGAGCACATCAGCAGGTATATGTCAATATTTTTTTTTATTTAATATTTTCTAATCAATTACCTCATCTTGGATATTTATTTCCTTGCAATTTTTCTTTTTTTTCAGGCGCAACAAGCGAAATTAGCGGCTCGACAATTTCAGCAAATTCAATCGCAACAGATGGCACAGCAGGTTTGTAAACTATAAGCTTAATGTTTGCATGTCGTACAGAATTGAATGACAAGGAACGAAGTAAGATTTAAATAATTTTCTATATATAAAAAATAGAAAAAATATATATATATACATATAAAATGTATATACAAAGTATATCCCATTTTAATCGATCATTCTCAAATTTTTTTATTTTTGATTGTACAACAAAATGTTTTAAACAAAAGTTGTTTGATTTGAAAGGGACAGAAAATTACATTACTACTTTTTTAAAAAGCGCTTTTCAAGATCATTTAAAAATCAATTATGTTAAATCAACTCCTCGCAATATTTTACACTATAAAATATCTCGTAAAATATTTATTGATCTTCAAATGACCTTGAAAAGCACTCTTAAGAAAAAAGTATGTAGCATCTTCTGTTGTCCTTCGAATCAAACTACTCTTGTTGTACAATCAAATATAAAAAAAGTTTTTGGAGATTATCGACTAAAATGGAACACAATTTATCTCTCATAGATATTCGACGCCTTGTCTCACAATCTTGTGTGAAAATTTCCAGCAAATCCGCTCGCCGCTTCAGATGCTATCGCGGGCCCAGCAAGGACAACTGAATACTCTGACCGGTCAGGTGGCCTCGATGAAAACTATGACGGAAGCCAGCACCTCTGTACAAAATAATCTCTGCGTAGACTCTGCAAATATGCCGCAAGTTATTCCTCAGAACGATGCCACCGTATTGAGTTCAGGCCAGTCTTTGGCCAACGGTGGCCCCAACGCGTCCACCTCCGTGCAGGTCGATAATTCTTCTACGATAGCAGTAGCTGACAACGCTTGTAACGGCTCCGGCATCCTGGTTTTTCAACAAAAATCGAGTGGTACTATTAATAACGCGACATCCACTAATGTTCCGGTCTTGGTGAGTCATTGCTCCTTTTTTTCTGTATTTTCTGCGATACGCAAATAGTGAATTTGACACCATATATTAATGCCAGGGTGTATATTCCCGGGAAAAATCTGGAAAACGTGAAATTCTTAGGACTTTTTTTTCTACCTTGAAAAATACTGGAATATTCATGGAATTTATTTTGAACTCAGGGAATTTTTTAAAAAATTGTTCCTTTGATTTTATTTTCAAATATATCTTTAAAGAATATAAAAATTAGGTTTATATAAAGTATATTAAAAATATATTTTATTATAAAATATAATATTATATTATTATATTAAAAATATTTTCACTAAGAAGTATATCAAGGCTCTGTAATATTAAATATTAAATACAAATAAGAAAGGTCTTAAGAGCCATACGCGGATACTTGCGTATATTTCCAACGAAAATTAATTTTTGTTGGAAATAAACGAAATGTGCACAAGGCACATATTATTCTTGGTGTACTACTGTTCGATTCAGCGACTTTCGGATCTATATTTTTCTCTCACGTTTATTTCTTTAGGGGGGTATAAGGATCTATGAAATTAAATCTCAAGTATGAGATATTTCATGTTATAAAAAATAATATGACTTGTGCACATTTTGTTTATTTCCAATGAAAATTTAATTTTTATAAATGTACGCAAGTAACTTCCGCGTATGGCTTTTAGGCCTTTCTTATTTGTATTTAATAAAAATATTTTATTTATATTGAAAAATTATGTATAATAAATAAACTTAATTTAAAATTGTATTTAAAATTTTTTAAAATTTTTTAAATTTACTTGAATTTAATAAAAAATATTTTATTTAATCTTAAAAAATTATTAATATAAGTATGCTGTCTTCTAAGCTGGGCAATAGAGCCAAGGAAACGAAACGAAAAATTAATTAAACGGAACTGTATCTCAATTTGAGATCCCAAAGTTCCACATATAAATTAATTTCGAAACTTACATATGGAGAAATAAGCGAGAAAAATATAGGTCCGAAAAGTCGCTGAAGCGGGAATCGAACCCGCGTCTTTCACTTTCCGGGCGACTGCTCTTACCAACTAAGCTATTCAGACCCTTTCGATCCTATATTTTTCATTTGCCTTTTTAGTAGATGTTAGTAAATACCGCCGTGATTAGCCCAAGGCGTGAATAAACTCAGAAATAAATATTTTTATCGGCTCTCAATATAAATAATATAAGTATGCTGTCTTCTAAGCTGGGCAATAGAGCCAAGGAAACGAAACGAAAAATTAATTAAACGGAATTAAAAAATTATGTATAAATAAACTTAATTTAAAATTGTATTTAAAATTTTAAAAAATTTTTAATTTTACTTGAAATTTTGAACAAAAGTACCTGGAAAATCATGGAATTTATTTATAAGATTTGAGTATACACCCTAAACGCGGAAGATGCAAATATGCAGGGTTGAGAAGTAACTCGTCACATGTAACGAAGTTACAATTACAGTTGAGATTTTTTTGGTAACTATAACTTAACTTCATTCCTTTTTCTGCATCTATAACTGTAACTTAACTTGGTTACATTTTTTAGTAACTAGTTTAATTGTTAGTAACTAATTTAATAGTTAATATATTTAAAACTTAGGGCTAATAATTTTTCACAACGTAGACTATTGGTATTATCTAATTTACTTAAGGGTCGGGAATTACGGATTCTCTCATATGAGATATTAGCCAAAATACTGAATGAATCTTATTGAATTTACGATATTCTTAATTAGTAGGATTGTCCTCAAGTCGCCAAAGATTTATTTTTGGAAAAAGATGAAAATAAAATTTATAATATAACTTTGGCTAGCAGCGGGTAAGGTTGGGTTAGCTGCGAGTCCGTATTTTATTTATTATACATTTTTAAGAGCGAAAATGCAAAATCTGACGTTTTGGCGATTTACTTTAGTATATAAAGAATATATAAAAATATTTCCACGAGGCTACGTGACTTCTTCGATGCAATATCTTATATAAACGAATCTCACTAGATTTATATAAAGGGCAACTCATGGGGAAATTTCCGTGGTAACATACTGACAGCTTGACAAGAAGAGAGTATCATTCTCTCTTTGTCTCTCTTGCATCTGAAAACTCGAATTCAAGTCTATCTGGTATAATAATTTTTTTTATAATATATTGGAATATATAAAAATTATTTTAAAAATATATATTTTTAAAGACGATTCTTAAGAATTTTTTAATATATTGAAAATATTTTTATAATTTTACAATTACAACACACATATGTATATATATAAATGTAAAATAATTTCGTAAATAAATGAATCCAATATTTTCTATATTTTAAGAATTCTTTAGTTTTGTCTTTACAAAAAAATATATTTTTAATAATTTTTATATATTCCAACATATTAAAAAAGAAAAAAATGTTGATACCGATAGATTTGAATCCGAGTTTTCACGGTGACAGACTGAACATCTTTGCACTCAGCTATTATGTACTTTTTTTCATACTTATGTATATAGCAGATATTATTAATATCAATATAATTGAAAAGTTAATACATATTTATTAGTCTATAACTTTTTATGCCGAAAATGATGAAGAATCAATTTATATAAAAAAATATGATTTTATTTAAAAATATAATTGTCCTTCAAATGACCTTGAAAACGCCTCTTAGAAAAAAGTCAGTAGCACTATCTTATTTTGTTGTTAAAGTCAAAATAAAAAAAAATTTTGAAAACGATCGAATAAAATGGGACACCTTGTATATCTTTATATCCCTCATTACATGTTTTCTATTTAAAATTCACAGCAAGCGCAATTGCAAGCAGGGACACAGAATTGTATAAGTGAAACTGCCAATCAGAACCAAAATGAGCCGCCGTTCAAGAAACACTCGACTAATCCGGCAATATGTGCCCTCGTCACTTCCCTCATGAATTCCGCGAATCAGTTCCAACAACAAGCCGCAGGTTCATATGACTTACGTATTTTTTAAATTTTATTCTTTATACAATTATTTATTTGCAAATATATGAATAAATCTACTTATTCGCAAAAGTCTGAATGAATGGAATCGTGCAGATTTGTGTTTCATCTCTATATTTTGCAGCCAATGCAGCAGCCGCAGCTATGAACAACAACAATGCGCAAGCTACAAATAAGTCCAGCAACGCCACGATCCTTAATTTATTAAATAGTCCTACAAATTTGGCTCAACAGAAAGTTCAACCGCGAAAGATTTCTCTCAATGCTTCCATCCCATCCAGAGTTTTTAGTCAGGGCAATGTGATCAACGTACCTAGCACTACGGGTCAGGTATGTTTAATAATGTCATTTTTTTAATAACTCATTACTTGTGCTACAAGTTCTATTTATATTGTATACTACAAATGGATATGTTTAAAATCAAATTGAATACTTAAAACGTCGCTAGTGATATTTAAAATAGGAACGATATATTAAATTCGACCCAAACTAGCCAAGAAAATTTTTATTTTATTTCCACAACATTTCGACCATCTGTTTTTGGTTCTTTTTAAATGAGAAACTAGAATGATACAATTAATTAAGATTAATAAAGATAAACATTTTGATGTTAAACGCAAGAATTAAATTTTACATACTTTCTTAATAAAAGCGCAGTTAGTTGACACTGTTGTCATTATTAAACAATATGATTTATATCTGAATTTTTAAAACATTTGAAAAAACTTTTGAAAGAACTTTTGGAAGAAAGTAACCCGCATCTTATCGTTATGATGGATCGTCAAAAACTGAGTATACTGAATTTATACGACCTTTATAATTTTGTCATAGATGTTGTTTAAATTCTCTCTGTCTTTATGTAGGTTAACTGTATTATTAACTTTTTTGATAAAAAACATTTCTGCGATTTCTCTCTTTCTAACATGTTTTTCATTATGTAATATAACGGGTGATATTCAATCAAATTCATGTCCCAACTCTTGTCTATGTTTGCTTATGACCGAATGATTTGTTACATGTAATTTTATATTGTTAAAATGTTCTTTCATACGTGTACGCAAATGTCTTTTTGTTTGACCGATATATGAGGAATCACAATTTTTACAGTCAATTTTATACACAACATTAGTTCTATCGTCGTTAGATAATCTATCTTTGCCTCGTTTTATTAATATGTCCAATTTTTTGGCTGTTTTATAGACTACACTAAAGCCAGCATTTTTAAAGAACGACCGATATTCATGACAATAGTGTCAACTAATTGCGCTTTTATTGAGAAAGTTTGTAAAATTTAATTCTTGCGTTTAACATCAAAATGTTTATTTTTATTAATCTTAATTAATTGTATCATTCTAATTTTTCACTTGAAAAGGACCAAAAACAGATGGTCGAAACGTTGTGGAAATAAAATAATTTCTTGGCTAGTTTGGGTCGAAATGGATATGTTTAAGTTGTGATATATTAATCAAACATATAATTAATAATTCTTTCACATATTTAATTGACTTTGAGGGGGACATAAAATGGTTAGTTTGACTTTGTATAATAATTTGAAAGTCACGTAAAGGTCACCTTCAGTTTCTTAAATGGAATCTACTATTCTTCATTGCATATTCTTGTAGCTTATCTTAAGAGCTTTTGAAAACACACTTTTGAGTTATTAAGACTTAAAATTAATAATTTTTTGACATAAAATGTTGAGACAGACTATCTTTTCTTGGCTTAATTGATCATTAATAAGTAAGATTTCAATCGATAACTTGACGAACAATTTATGTTTTAGCAGTTTTCACCTAACGCGGCCGGATCCGTAGCTGTTAGGGCTCGTATGAAAATTAATAATGATACATTGCGTGGAAAATTATATTATGAGATTTTAATAAAGTTGGGCGCCAGTATAAATTTATGATTAATCAAGTACAATTTTAATTCAGAACACCTCAGGAGTGAGCGTTGGAAAAAACCCATAATTTTCTAAAATTGAATTAATCATGTACTACGGAATCTTACATTAACACGGGGCAATTATTTCAAACAAGTATGAGTAATTTTACTGACTTACATATGTAGAAGCAATATTTTGGGTAACTGTGATCGATTCTTAAAATTTCCTCGCAACAGTCAGGTCTCTCATCTTTATCCTTGTTAATTAATAATCGTCCTGTGATCCGACATTTGAGAGAACGACTTCAAGAGCTTTACAATCAAGGATCTTCTCAGTCTCACGGTCTCTCCTGGAGTATCTCCTGTCGGCGAGCTTCGTTTCGCGTTCGTGGTGGGGAATTTCGTCTACCCTCATTACTTTTGTCATGCCTATGGTCGCGGCCTATAATTTCTATTTTACAAAATTCCTATCGTTTCACATAAGACTATGCGTGATGGGTGTTCGCGGGAACTCCCATCGGGTCGATTCACGTCGACTTGAATAATAATTTTACTGGTACAATGTAAAATATGTGTATGAATAATGAGATCAAATAATTATTTAAAAAAAAAGTATGTGATTTGCAACAATGTAGATACGTACTTTTTTTAAAAGCAACTATGTGTTTTCTTTACATTGATTAGTCGCATTATTCCGTATATATAAAAGTATTAAGGTATGATTACCGAAAACTGAATATTTTACAAGATGTTTTACATTTTGTCAAAGATTTTTTTACTTCAAACTCTAATAACTCGAAAAGTACTTAAGAGAAAATACTTTATTAAAGTTTTTTGGAGAGCTCGAGATAAGCTACCAAAATATGTAATAAAACATAGTAGGTTCTATTTAAGAAATTGAAGGTGATCATTATGTGATCTTCAAATGATTATACAAGATCAAATCAATGACATCACCTTATGTCCCTATTTGCCTGGGGCGATTAAAATGAATAATTAAATACCCTGTATTTAATTAAATACCTTGTATATGTAAATGTGTTGCTTACATCGTCAATATGTTTCAGGTACGCGTGAGTTTGAATTCCGCTTTAACCGGACAGCTAGGGTGCAAGCAACAATCTATGAAGACGACCACCGTGAGACTCGCGCGAGTGCAAGATTCCACGTCTACGCTTGGCTTATCAATGCCGGGACTTTCGGCCATGCTTGCTGGTACAATAAACATTATCTATAGATCTTTAAAGATACTCTATTACGATAAAAAATGTAATTTTTTTACCGAATTTGTTACGGATTAAGAAACTTAGTATATACAGATCGATAATATCAGGATGTGTGTTTGAATTAATATAGTTGAATATTCTGAAACTATGGTTGTGAACGAGAAAATATTTCATACAAAAGTATTTCAATTACAAATAATTTCGAGATTTTGAATTTTAATTAAAGTCATTTTTCATTATTATTTGAAAGTTAATTTAGTTTTTTAAAATAAAACTACTCTAATTTTTAATATAAATCGATTTCTATCCTAGTAATTTGACATAAAAAGTTATAAGGATGGGATGCCCAAAAAGTGAATAGTTTACAAGATATTGTATACTTTAACATAAACTATGAAATATCTCCTTGATACTTTCATACGCAAAATAATGAGAGGAATCAATTTATGTAAAGAAATCATGTTGTTTGAAAAATTATATAAATATGTTGGAAAAAGTTTGTAATCAGTTTATTATATTATAAAAGTTACTTCTAAATGGTCTTGAAAAACGGTAACCTTCAAATGACCTTAAAAAATTACCTTTTTGTTAAGACTGTATAACGTTAAAATTTGAGTCCGCAATATTCGTTTGAATATTTATTAAATATAATATAGATAATATT